TTGACTGTATTGGAGGCTGAAGTGAGTCTGACTGGGAATGAGTGGGAAAAGCACCGTATTGTGACTGGCCCGGATGCTCCATGTATCCTTGGCATAGACTATCTTAGAAGAGGATATTGCAAGGACCCAAAAGGGTTCCGGTGGGCTTTTGGTATAGCTGCCTTAGAGACAGAGGGCATTAAACAATTATCTACCTTGCCTGGTCTCTCAGAGGACCCCTCTGTTGTGGGGTTGCTGAGGGTCGAAGAACAGCAAGTGCCAATCGCTACCACAACTGTGCACCGGCGGCAATATCGCACTAACCGAGACTCCCTGATTCCCATCCATAAGCTAATTCGTCAATTGGAGAGCCAAGGAGTGATCAGTAAGACCCATTCACCTTTCAATAGCCCCATATGGCCAGTGCGAAAGTCTAATGGCGAGTGGAGACTAACAGTGGACTATCGTGGCCTGAACGAAGTCACGCCACCACTGAGTGCTGCAGTGCCGGACATGCTGGAACTTCAGTACGAACTTGAATCGAGGGCAGCCAAGTGGTACGCCACAATTGATATCGCTAATGCATTTTTCTCCATCCCTCTAGCAGCAGAGTGCAGGCCACAATTTGCCTTCACTTGGAGGGGAGTCCAATATACTTGGAATAGGCTGCCCCAGGGGTGGAAACACAGCCCTACCATTTGCCATGGGCTGATCCAGTCTGCGCTAGAGCAGGGGGAAGCTCCTGAACACCTGCAGTACATCGATGACATTATTGTGTGGGGTGACACAGCAGAGGAAGTTTTCGAGAAAGGGAAGAAAATAGTCCAAATCCTTCTGAAAGCCGGTTTTGCCATAAAACAGAATAAAGTCAAAGGACCTGCACGAGAGATCCAGTTTTTAGGAATAAAATGGCAAGATGGACGTCGTCAAATCCCAATGGATGTGATCAACAAAATAACAGCTATGTCTCCACCAACTAACAAAAAAGAAACACAGACTTTCCTAGGTGTTGTGGGGTTTTGGAGAATGCACATCCCAAATTACAGTCTGATTGTAAACCCGCTCTACCAAGTAACCCGTAAGAAGAATGAGTTTGAATGGGGCCCTGAACAACGACAAGCCTTTGAACAAATCAAGCAGGAAATAGTCCATGCAGTAGCCCTTGGGCCAGTTCGAACAGGACCAGATGTAAAGAATGTGCTCTACACTGCAGCCGGGGAGAACGGCCCCACCTGGAGCCTCTGGCAGAAAGAACCTGGGGAAACTCGAGGTCGGCCTCTGGGGTTTTGGAGTCGGGGATACAGAGGATCTGAGGCCCGCTATACTCCAACTGAAAAGGAGATATTGGCAGCATATGAAGGAGTTCGATCTGCTTCGGAGGTGGTCGGTACTGAAGCGCAGCTCCTCCTAGCACCCCGATTGCCGGTACTAGGCTGGATGTTCAAGGGAAGGGTCCCCTCTACGCATCATGCAACTGATGCTACATGGAGCAAGTGGGTTGCACTGATTACTCAGCGGGCTCGAATAGGAAACCCCAGTCGCCCAGGAATATTGGAAGTGATCATGGACTGGCCAGAAGGCAAATACTTTGGGATATCATCAGAGGAGGAGGTGGGTCGTGCTGAAGAAGCCCCACTGTACAACCAGTTGCCAGAGAATGAAAAGAAATATGCCCTGTTCACTGATGGGTCCTGTCGTATTGTGGGGAAGCATCGGAGATGGAAGGCTGCTGTATGGAGTCCTACGCGACGAGTTGCAGAAGCTGCTGAGGGAGAAGGTGAATCGAGTCAGTTTGCAGAAGTGAAAGCCATTCAGCTGGCTTTAGACATTGCTGAACGAGAAAAATGGCCAGTTCTCTATCTCTACACCGATTCATGGATGGTAGCAAATGCCCTGTGGGGATGGTTACAGCAATGGAAGCAAAACAACTGGCAGCGTAGGGGCAAACCCATCTGGGCTGCTGCATTGTGGCAAGATATTGCTGCTCGGGTAGAGAACCTGGCTGTGAAAGTACGCCACGTAGATGCTCATGTGCCCAAGAATCGGGCTACTGAAGAACATCAAAACAACCAGCAGGTGGATCAGGCTGCTAAGATTGAAGTAGCTCAGGTGGACTTGGATTGGCAGCATAAAGGTGAATTATTTATAGCCCGATGGGCCCATGACACCTCAGGCCATCAAGGTAGAGACGCAACATACAGATGGGCTCGTGATCGAGGGGTGGACTTGACCATGGACGCTATAGCACAGGTTATTCATGACTGTGAAACATGTGCTGCAATCAAGCAAGCCAAACGGTCAAAGCCTCTTTGGTATGGAGGACGATGGCTGAAATATAAATATGGAGAGGCCTGGCAGATTGATTACATCACACTCCCTCAAACTCGCAATGGCAAGCGCCACGTACTTACAATGGTGGAAGCAACCACCGGATGGCTGGAAACATATCCTGTGCCTCATGCCACCGCCCGGAACACCATCCTGGGCCTTGAAAAGCAAGTCCTATGGCGACATGGCACCCCAGAAAGAATAGAATCAGACAATGGGACTCACTTCCGAAACAACCTTATAGACACTTGGGCCAAAGAACATGGTATTGAATGGGTGTATCACATCCCCTATCATGCACCAGCCTCCGGGAAAGTTGAACGATACAATGGCCTGTTAAAGACTACCTTGAAAGCAATGGGCGCTGGGACGTTCAAAAACTGGGATACGCATTTAGCAAAGGCCACCTGGTTAGTCAATACTAGGGGATCTACCAACCGAGCTGGACCTGCCCAATCAAACCTGTTACGTACTGTAGATGGGGATAAAGTTCCTGTAGTGCATGTAAAAAATATGCTGGGTAAAACAGTCTGGGCTACTCCTGCCTCAGGAAAAGGCAAACCTATTCGTGGAATTGTTTTCGCTCAGGGACCTGGATACACTTGGTGGGTGATGCAAAAGAACGGAGAGGTCCGGTGTGTACCTCAAGGAGATTTAATACTGGGTGAGAATAGCCCATGAACTGAATTGTACCATGTTAAATAGTATATTATACTGTATGTTATCACTACCATGATTACTATAGGTGACTAATTAGAATGTATGGAAAAGAGTGTAACCTGAGCATGACATAAATGGTATGGAATAAGGGGTGGATAGATGTCCTGGTTTCAGTTAGCACAGAATTAATTTTCTTCCTAGTAGCTGGTGGAATGCTGTGTTTTGGCTTAGGATGAGAAGAGTGCTGATAACACCCCGATGCTTTAATTGTTGCAGAGCAGTGCTTATACTAAGCCAAGGACGTCTCAGCCTTTTGCTCTGTCCTGCCAATGGGCAGGCTGGGGGTGCAGTAAGAGCTGGGAGGGGACAGACCCAGGACAGGTGACCCAAACTAGCCAAAGGGGTATTCCATACCATCTGACGTCATGCTAAACAATATATAGGGGTGGCTAGCCGGGGGGAGGGGGCCGGACTGCTCGGGGTTAGGCTGGGCATCGGTCAGCGGGTGGTGAGCAATTGCATTGTGCATCACTTGTTTGTACATACTATTACTTTCGTATTATCACCATTGTATCATTATTATTATTATTGTTATTATTATTTTTGTTATTATTATTTTCCTGTCTTATTAAACTGTCTTTATCTCAACTCACGGGCTTCACTCTCCATTTCTCTCCCCCGTCCCAGAGAGGGAGGGGGGGAGGGTGAGCGAACGGCTGCGTGGTGTTTAGCTCTCGGCCGGGTTAAACCACGACATCCATCTAAGGATGTCAGTGTAAATCTCAGAGAAAAGAAATTAATTTCAGAAAGATTATATATATGTAGATTATTTGCCTCCTAACCTCTGTGCGTGCCTCCCTGCTCCAATAAACAAGCAGCTTTTTTGTGCTACTGCAGTCTCAGAGGATATTGGCAGAGATAAATATGTGCTGAAGTTCTTGCAGGATGGAAACTCTCTAAAGAGCAGAGAATGGGAAGCAAAACAAAACAGGAATTGTGCCACCATCTTTCTGATTTGAAAATAAGAGGTACTAAATTCCTCATTTTGGGTCAGAAATACCCTCCTGGACCAGGTCCTGGCTCTGCATCTCCAGTCTGCTGTACTTGGTAGTAGGAAATATTTCCAGGTTACTTTAGGGCAAAATAAGAGTGACTGTGCTGGGAAAAAAAATAAAAAAAATCAGAACCTTTCCTTTTGAAGATGCCTACCACAACATTTATGAGCATTGTTCTCAGAACAGACACCTTGCATCCTCTTGAGATGGGGAAGAAAATCCCCCACCTCAAATCCCTAGGCAGTAGTGTGTCATATCAACCAACAAAAGCCCCAAAAAAACAGTGACAGAATTATTCCCAGCAGTAGCTGCACTATTGAAACAGGAGCTCCAAGAAAACCCTTGGAGATTTTATTTTATTCTGCTTTATGAAGGAGGAGATCAGGCAAGACAATGAAAAATACTGGCTTAAAAGTCCCTAAAAATATGTGGTCAGGATTTATTCTCCCTGTTTAAACTCTGGCCAGCTGGGTGGGGTTGGCCACAGGGTGGAACCCCAAAGGTGGGAGCAACCTTTGAGTCCCAGGGAGGCTCTGAGCAAGTCCTCGAGGTTCACAGAGCCCCTGGGGCACACGGGGGATGCAGCCCCCAGGTGCACAGGGAAGGGCTGACCCCAAGGCAGCAGCACCATCAACGGGCTGTGGTTTGCCCTTGCCTCCTATGGGCCAGACTTGAGGGGTTTTTCTTCTGTTATAATGCACCACATTAAGAACATCTAGATACTAAATATTTGTAATGTAGGGGTGGCACAATGTTGGATGTAATGAGTTTATTTAGCAAGAGCTTGTGCTCTGCATGTACAGTTACACCAGCCCTGGCCTTTATCCCATTGTGAATTGCAACTCTGGGCAACTTTTGCCTGCTGGGTAGCACAAATTAAATCCTTTCAAAGTGATTTCTCTTTGGAGGAAGTGTTGTTGAGAGCTGGTGTTTCTTTGAAAATGTCCTGCTTGTTCACAGAACCTTTTGCCCTCTTAGTGCAAAGGGGAAGAGGAACTACTTTGTGTGTTTGGAAATGTATGGCCGATGAATACAACTTTTGAGGGAGTGGCTCATCCCTGGTCTTGCTGCTCAGATCGTCTCCAAGGTACTCTTGTTTTTTCTCCTTTTTCTGCCCCTTGCTGTCAGCTTCACACAGCTGCTGCCAGCCTCCCCCTGCCCGCTGGTGCTGCAGCCCCGGCCCCGCAGCTTCGGCTGGGTCCTGCACCATGTTACAATGGGGGGAACTGCACTGTGCCCCTAAACTGGAAAGGAAGAGGGCTCAGGCAGCAACATGTAGCTGATGGCAAGCTCTGATGCCTCCCATGCTGTGATGAGGTTCAGTTATGGATTCACTGAGTGCCTCCATCTTTGCTGTAAAAAACTCATTTTGCGTTGGTGGGTGGCAGCGCTCCCAGGTCCTGTAACACAATCCATCTTCTCCCAGCTCTGCTTCCAAGGCTGTCTCAGTAGCTGCTGAAGGCTGATGTCTGAAGAGATTTCGGTTGCACACATCAGGTTTCTGCTTGTGTGATTGAACTGTCTGCTGTGACGTTGCTGTGACTCAGGAGGAATTTGCTGTGAGCACCGGCCTGCTGGGAATGAGCTTTCGCTAGCAGAAGCTAATTAGCTAATGTGGCAGGTTTGTTTTTTTGTAACAAACTTCTGGTGTTTCTGCCAAAAATGAGTCATACCTTCAGCTATGTGGATGCGTGTGGCTACAGTTAGCTCAACAAAACCGTGCTGAGTCACCTGCACCTGCCTCCTGGAGAAACAGCTCCCATGGCACAGGTGGAACAACAGTGCTGGAGACTTGGCGCTCCTGAAAATGCAAGGTTTGTCATTCTAGGGAACCCGTGTATCAAAATGGGATGCGGTGTGATTTCTGGCATATTTATTGAAAATACAGTTCTCTTCAGGCCGTACTGTGTTAGATTTCTCCTTGTTCATTTAAACTTTGCCTGAGAAGCTCCCCAAAAAATGTTACTTGGCATTGAGTGAGTCGTGATTTAAAAATGCTTCTGGTTTGCAGAAATAATAATCATAATAAAAAGACACCAGCAGGAAATAGATATTGGGAACAGAGAAGGTCAGCTCTTGCTGAACGATGCCATTGAGCCATAACTGGCTCCAGAGGCTCCTGGGCTGCAGCCTGCTTCACCGCTGTGTGCGCTGGGCTGAGCTGCTCGGCGGGGCGGAGATTGGCTTTCCCAGGGAGGTGGGGAGCGATAAATAAATAACTGCTCAAGTAACTCAGAGAGGACACTTTCAATCTTCTATTATTTTCCTACAGCGGAGCAGGGAAAGATTTAAAAGGGGTGCTGCATCTAATAAATGGAGAGGTGGCTCCTGAAGGGGAGCTTTTTGCCGAGCCATGCTGCGGGTGCGCAGGCAGGGCGATGCCAGCCCCACGTGCACGGAGCCGTGGCAGCTCTGCATGGCTGGGCAGAAAGCAGCAATATTTACGGACCTGCAGGAGCCACTGCTCCTCTCTTAGTAATAAATAGTTGATCTTAAAAGGTCAGGATCATACATAACATTCTCCTGGTTACGAATGCATAATGCATATCTTCAATTTCCGGGGCTGAATTTATCAGTGTTGTCCCGCTAGCGTGCCTGTGAGGTCAGGCACTGATGTGGGGGGATGAAGGATTTCTGCTGTCTGCTGCTGGGGCTGCAGGAGGGTTCTGCTGTGTCCGAGGGCAGGCACCAAAACACTTGGCAGGCACCGAAACACCCGCAGGCTGTGCCAGCAGGGTGCACCAGGACAGCTCCTGCCCTGGCCAGGGGTCTGGCTCAGGCTGCTGGGCTGCAGCAGGCCTCCAGGTGGTCCACTCTGTGCCTTGAAATCTCACGTGGGAAACTGATGAATCACGTCAGAGTCCATGAACAACGTGATAAGGAATCTGAGCTTGACTACGAGTCAATCACTTTATCTAATTAGCATGGCACAGCCTCGTTGCTTTGCTGTTGTTATCATCGTGGCATCACTCCTCGGCTATTTACTGAGTGCAGTGAAGCCTGAGCTGCCCCACTCCCCTGTTATTTATGTTATATATATGTTATTTATGGTCATGGGACATCCAGGCCTCTACCGTGACCCTATTCGGGATCCCTGCAGCATGGCTAATTATGCAGCATGGCAAAGGCACAATTCAATGGGAGGGGGACTGCACATCCTGAACCATAAACAACCTGAACTAAAAGTGAAAAAACATTTGAATCCCAGAAGATTACTGGTCAAGAGACACTGGCATTGCACTCCTATGAATAGTGACCCCAAGCATGAACTCCCAGAGCTCTCCAGGGAGTGCAGTAGGCTGCACCCCTCCGTCTCCCCCAGCCTCTCAGGGCTGGCTCCTCGAAGAACGAGCTTGTCCACAGACAAACACTGATGGGACAGAAGGGTGAGTAATTCATATTAACGGGGATTTGGGAAGTGCATGTTTGGGGTTAGAGCTCCCCCAGGACCCTGCAGTAAGTCTGGGGTGAACCTTGCCATTCTCAAATCTAGAACTAAGTCATCGTTTGTATTGTAGGATCATTGCGTTAACTGACTACTGCTCAGATACTGATTGTTACTGTGCTGTTAAAAGTCTGACGTTGTTTACTATAACATCTAAACTTGTCTGACCTTATTATTTACCGTGAAATTATATAATAAATCCTTAATTACTGCTACATTAAAGTTGTGTAAAATCATTTCCCCGACAGTGTTTAAGATGACACTGCTATAAAGTAAATGTTTGCCAACAGCTGTTACTGGGGAAACCTTTCTAAATGTGTATGCTTACAGCTGCGTCTTACAGAAGTCCTCATACTTGGTCAAATAATGCAAGAAATGAAAAATCTGTAATTTATTTTTAGCAGGGAAAATGCACTTCTCTATTGGATTACCTGGGTTTTTCTTTTGCACTTTTTGCCTGTGTTTCCTCTCCTTGACTGCTTCCAATGTCCGTGTTGCTGGCTTACCCCAGCAAATCACTTTTGGCACTTGTTATAACAGTTATGAGTTCACAGCTCTTTAAGGAGATGTACAGATTACTGTACGGTTAATTTCCACATACGGTATACATTAGGTGAATGAGCTGAATCTTAAAAACAACAGTTTGAACAACTTAGAACGAGCTAAAAAAATGAAATACTGTTTTGCACACTGTAAGAAAGACTTTCAATTGCCAGCACTTGTGGAGCAGCACTGGAAGTGCACTCAGCCTCGCTGATCGCTCCCACGGATTTTGGGGAGGAAGAGTTACGGCCACAGCAGCTCACACCTTGGTCAAGCTTACATAAATTTTGTTCAATTAAATTTAAACTCGATTCAATTAATATGATATTTGAATTAATGCAACAATTAAATGAACTTAGAGTTTCATTCTATCTGTCGTTGTGAAGATCTTCAGGTATCCCCAGCTCCCACCTGCAGTGTAACTCCAGCATTTTCTGCTCAGAAAACCCATCATCAATATTAGCTGGACAGTTGCTATTCTTTGTAATGGCAGAGGTCAAAACAACGTGGGAGTCTCTTCTGCTGGTAAACTGAGTTTCAGTGAAGTGGAAAAATAATAACGCATCAGCACGAGTGATATTTAGTATCCTTAACCCTGAGGTTCTGGTGTGTAAAATGTCATTTGTCTTAAATATATTTTTTCAGCAAACTGTGTTTTCTTGCCTCGGCTGTTAAAATACAATACATCTTCAGTGTTCCCAAATAGCAGTCCTGTACCTGTGAGTCAGTGACTGTGGGATTGCAGGTCTCACCCCCGTGCCGTGTTGCTGTTCCTCTCGCAGAGTTAAGAGATCCCTTGATGGAGATGTCATTCCTTCATCCTCCAGAGAAGTGAACCTTTCTCCTGCTTTTTGGTTCCAACAGTTGGGATGCGTGCACGGACCAGTCGTGGAAATAGCAATTTCTGTCTATGGCTTTGTTTCAGACATGAAAGTGCAGCGTAATGGGCTGTGTGCTTTAATGATGTGCTGAGAGTAGCAGAATGGAAGAGGTTTGTTCGTTTGTTTGTTTTTCCTGAATGTATAAAAGGCTGAGAATAATGAAGTGTAGAAGGATGAACTGTTTGAGGGGACTATTGTGAGCTCTTGACTCAGGCAGCTGGGCTATTTTATAACAAATCTGGTGTTTCCTGTAGTGACATTTCCTTTGATTTAAGAAGTTTGTTATGCCCTCTTAATTTTAACCCCCGTGATTAGAGTTAACGTTAATCTTAAATAATGTCTGTCCCAGAGGATCTGTGATAAATTGGATCTACTGGCGCAAAGTAATCCTCAGCCTCCTAATGGCATCCAGTTGATAATAACTGTTTTATTTATTGATCACATTACTCACCTAAGGGTACACTGAATCTGTGGGAGAAGGCAGTCTGCACAGAGCTAACAGTGAGGGGCTTGAAATAGGGGGCTGGAGAACCCAGTTTAGAGAAAATCTGAGGAAAACATGGTGTAGAAACAGAGGAAAACAAAAAGTGTTTTTTTTTTTTTTTTTTTTTTTTTTCTTCCTATTTTCACAGCTGAGTGCTGGGAACTGCTGGAAGATGTTTAGATTATACTTTTTTTTTTTTTTTTTTTTTTTTCCCAATAAATAATATCTATTTATATGAAAAAAAAAAACGAGCCACCACTTCCATCCCCCTCTCCCAGTACTCAGAGATGTCATCACAGGCTTGCACAAAGCAGGCAGCTTTTGAACTAGTTGGTGTGGTTGTTTTGCCAGTGAGACTTCTAAGGTGAAACTTGTTTGGTTTTTGTTCAGATGTATTCAGATCTTTGCTTTTGGAGGAACCGATTATGTGGGTATTGGTTTTGTCCCTGCATTTCTTTCTTGTGCATGGGGCTAAAAGGGCTGCTGGCAGCCACTGGGCACAGCCAATCCTTTGTCAAGGTCCTGGCCAGCCAGGAATGAACCAGACCTCACTCAAATGTTTTGGCAAATGTCATAAATAATATAATATATATATGCAGCTCTCCTGATAGTAAAGGAAACACCCCATACACCTGTAAGAAACCATGAAACTTTGCAGTGATTTTCACTGCTGTTAGAAACGTGCCATAAAGCTCAAGTGAAGGGCAAGGATCAAACAACCAAATTATTCTGAT